CCATAATGTTTCGCGTGATATATTAAAATATTGTTACCATAATGTATCGCGTGATATATTAAAATATTGTTACCATAATGTTTCGCGTGATATATTAAAATATTGTTACTGTGATTATGTGTGTGAGATATATTAAAATATTGTTACCATAATGTTTCGCGTGATATATTAAAATATTGTTACCTGTGATTATGTGTGTGAGATATATTAAAACATTGTTACCATAATGTTTCGCGTGATATATTAAAATATTGTTACTGTGATTATGTGTGAGATATATTAAAACATTGTTACCATAATGTTTCGCGTGATATATTAAAATATTGTTACTGTGATTATGTGTGAGATATATTAAAACATTGTTACCGTGATTTTCGGTGTGCTATATTAAAATGTTGCTACCATGATTTTTCGCGTGATATATTAAAATATTGTTATCGTGATTTTCTGTGTGTTGTACAAAACATTGTTACCGTGATTATCTGTGAGATATATTAAAATGTTGCTACCATGATTTTTCGCGTGATATATTAAAATGTTCTGCTTTATACACCGTGATTTTGATAAAAAAAAGTTCAAAGCTGAGGCATTGAAAAGATTTGTTTGAACAACTTAGAAAATACCAACAAATCGTACTGCATCTATGTGAGTCCTTCAATTAAAAAAAGTATAACATTTTCATGATGTTCAACTCGCTTTATTAAAGTACTTTAATAAGTTTGGATCTAGCGAGTAAATAAGATATTTTAAAGAAACAGTAAGGAGGTGAAAAAGAAAAGACTTGAAAGTTTCAGTATGGAGATCATATAATGATATATAGGGCTCGACTCGAAGGATAATGTGAATAAAATTCAATGGGAGTGCAAGAGAACTGAATAACATTCAATGGGAGTGTAAGAGAACTGAATAACATTCAATGGGAATGTAAGAGAACTGAATAACATTCAATGGGAGTGTAAGAGAACTGAATAAAATTTAATGGGAGTGCAAGATAACTGAATAAAATTTAATGGGAGTGCAATAGAACTGAATAAAATTCAATGGGAGTGCAAGAGAACTGAATAACATTCAATGGGAGTGCAAGACTGAAGAAAATTCAATGAGAGTGCAAGAGAACTCAATAAAATTCAATGAGAGTGCGAGAGAACTCAATAACATTCAATGAGAGTGCAAGAGAACTCAATAAAATTCAAAGGGAGTGCAAGAGAACTGAATAAAATTCAAGGGGAGTGCAAGACAACTGAATAAAATTCAATGGGAGTGTAAGACAACTGAATAAAATTCAATGGGAGTGCAAGACAACTGAAGAAAATTCAATGAGAGTACAAGAGAACTGAATAAAATTCAATGGGAGTGCAAGACAACTAAAGAAAATTCAATGGGAGTGCAAGACAACTGAAGAAAATTGTTTCAGAGATCGGCATCACACGTTCTCGTCCTACACGTATCAACTTTGTGATCGGCTTCGTTTCAAGAGTTCTTTCGGATTCGAATAACGAGAAGCAAGGTCATTATAAAAAAAGTAGATAATATAGTCCTTCCCCCCGCTTCTTGTTCCATTCACGTCACATAATTCAAAAGAAATACACTGCTAAACTGGTAGTCAAGATGTAAAGTATACATCTCCAGGGAGATGCTCGTGACTTCGACACGGGTCAGTGGGAACAAAGGCTCGTCCTAGCCCTCGACATTAGCCTGAAATACATAGCATTAATGTATATCGTTAAAACCATGCTTCATTCATCAAATTCATAGTGAACACGTAAATAACCACCATATAAAAGCTACGAAGCGCATAGAGTTAATTTCCTTTTCATTACACCTTGAGATTGTGCCTAAAGGCGATATTTCCAGCATTAAGACATCTGATGATTCAATACTTTTTTTTTATCAGGATGATGAGATCTATAAAACAATTCTCTTGGAAATTGTTCCGAAATCTGTTCATCAGGCCTGACGAAGTTACTGTATAAGTAGTGAACTGATGTAAGTAGTACGTACATTAATTATTTTTTTTATTAGTATTTAGGTGAAGAACCCTTTGCACAATGATTTTGTTTAGATTTAATTTCTAAATTATAAACAATAGAATTTATTCAATTTTACTTTTTCTTAATAAAATGAAAATAACATATAGCATTTTAGCACAAATACAACATATATACGGATAAGACTTAACAATGATAGTTCCGTACAAGAGACAACTAACTGTACAGATGAACAACGTCAGTAACTCCACCAGGTGCAACACCTGAACAGATAAACAACATCAGTAACTCCACCAGGTGCAACACCTGAACAGATGAACAACATCAGTAACTCCACCAGGTGCAACACCTGAACAGATAAACAACGTCAGTAACTCCACCAGATGCAACACCTGTACAGATGAAAAATGCCAGTAACTCCACCAGGTGCAACACCTGTACAGATAAACAACATCAGTAACTCCACCAGGTGCAACATCTGAACAGATAAATCAACGTTAGTAGTTCCACCAGATATGATAGCCGTTGGGATAAAACATAGCGGTAACGGCTCTGCAAAGGTTCAACATATTTACAGACAAAAAAAGAAGAAGAAATAAATAACAAATTAACATCAGTTGTTCCGGACGAGAGTACGTTTGTAGCTTGACAACAGATGTACGAGGTAAAGGATGACTTTAGTAACTCCACGAGAGATGACAACTTTCTACCTAAATGTTAGTGTTAATAGATCCAAGAGAGATGAAAGCTATACAAGAAAAGATAACACTAGCAGTAACTACACACAAGAGACAACATATCGCAAATAACAGATAACGTTATTAACTTCAAAAGAGACATAGCCGTATGTATCAATAAAATATAACTTTAGTAAAACAATAGGGACAACTGTACACGTGATATATAACGTCAGTATCTCCACGATAGACGACAGCTGTTAAGGTAAAAGATAACGTCAGTATCTCCACAATGTACGATAACTGTTGAGGTAAAAGATAACGTTAGTATCTCCACGATAGACTATAGCTATTAAGGTAAAAGATAACGTCATTAGCTCCACACGAGAAGAAAGCTGTAAAGAAAATATGATGTTAGTATTGCTTTACAAGAGACGAAAGTTGTATGCGTAAAAATTAACGTCAGGATCTCCACAAAAGTTGACGATAAAAGAAATTGTCTGCTCTTTTTCTATTGTATTGATATTAACTTCCATGAAAGCAAGCTGCCTACATAGAGATATACCAAAAATAAATCGGTTAATAAGCTTAAATATACTTTTCTTAGGGTTTTACTTATAAAAGGTTATAATGCATTGTTTCATCAGTTGGATATCCTTACTGTTAACGATGTTTTCGGCCGTAATCCTAACAATATTTCACAAAGTACGACCAGCTTAGGAGGTTCAGGCAAGTCCTAAATCCATATGGTAAGCGAACAGTGTAAAACAATCAAATTAGATAGATTAAAGATTCTATCTAATATTATGAACGTAAGTAACAATAAAAGAATAATATCCTACTTACAGTACATACACACACTAACTGCTGTCACCTGTGTTCATTGAAGAACGTATTATCAGTATAATCACGTATAAATAAAACTTTACACAATCCTCCCTAAACACATCTTGTGACCAATGATTTAAGAATGAAGAAGAATTTTTCTTTCTTTTTCTTTAGGGGGTGGAGTAATGGGAAAATGCGATCTTAGCCAGAGTGGAGCAGTCAAGATAAAAGACAACGATTTACTGCAGTTCAGTAAAATCATCAAAATAGCCAGAACCGGATTTCTTGCCAAAATCGTAAAATTTATTTTAAAAAACTCAAGTAATTAATTACTTCAAGTTACATAAGTAAGCCTAAGTTATAAATAAATACTTAAGCCTAAGTATTAACAAAATATATAAGGCAAGTTCTTTATATGGGGAACATTTTTCAAAATCATAAGAATTTACTTTGTATACAAAAGACATAAAAAACGTACTTCAACTTAAAAGAAAGTGCCGATAATTTTTAAAATTTTTGTTCTAACACTCATGTGCACAAAAGACAAAAACTAAAAACAGACTTCAACATAAAACAAAGTGCCGATAATGTTTTTAATTTTTATGCTACAGCTCATCTTCCGTAGCGAAGAACGCGGAAAACGTATTCAAGGTAAAAATTAGAAAAAAAAAGTATTCAGTAAGATAACACAGCTGACATGTAACGCATGGAATCTTGAATAGAGTTTAAAGTTGTTTTTTTTTCACTTTTCTGCCACCAACTACTCGTGATGCGTTATGTAAAGCTAAACTTAACAACTACCAATTGTACTAGTGTTGTCGATATTGTAGCTTGAATGAGAGGATATGTCTATCAAGAAATGTTAAATCTATATACCAACTGAATACAGTATCATTGTAAAGAGAAACTTTCCGGTTTTTATTGTATGGATAGAAACTAAAGTACTTCAAAATCTAAGCAGTAAATTTTTGTATATTCCAGATAAGAAAAAAAAATCACTTCAAAATTGAAAGTGAACAAATAAGTTTCAATATTAGTATCACGAGGATTGAACACTAAATTTTAGCGTTTAAGACCTAAAGCTTACTGCTGAGCCACTGATGGGTTTGACATTTGTTGATAATAGATAATAGATTATCCTCATGAGGATAATAGATGTCTTTTTTTATCCTTCTTCCAAATAAACTGACAAAGGAATATAACGTTTGGTCATTTTTAAAGGAAAAATTCATAACTCCATACAACAAATCGTTTCTTCTGACTGGTATTTTATATAGCACCAGAAAAAGAAAAAAAATGGGGGATAGCGCTTGTTGTCCTCATTCAGGTCAAAGTTCAGAGCTCCACAGAACGAAATGAGGGCTCTTCTGATTGATCTTCGATATAACATTGCAACTGCTAATAAAAGAAGATAATACTTGATTTCGTGAAAGACAAAGTTCAGAGCTCCACAGAACGAAATGAGGGCTCTTCTGACTGATCTTTGATATAACATTACGAGCTCTGAACTTTGTCTTTCACGAAATCAAGTATTATCTTCTTTTATTAGTAATCCACAGAACGAAATGAGGGCTCTTCTGACTGATCTTCGATATAACATTACGATTGCTAATAAAAGAAGATAAGATAACACTTGTTGATTTCGTGAAAGACAAAGTCCAGAGCTCTACTTAAGGAAGTGAGACACTCTCTTTCAGGTTTTGTTCGAAATAGCCCAAATATTACTAACGAAAGTTATGTTCTTTGCATTGAACTTTGACAGGACATTGACACGGGTCACCAGTGAAATGTTAGGATAGCTGTGAATATGCTTAATTAAACTATTCACCCTAGATGGAGTCTAACGTAAAAGCTTGTTTTTACAGTAATGCTCTTTACGAAGAGGGTTGAAATACCCATGGATAGTTCAATGTGTTTCTTTGTGCTTAACTTCAAACAAACAGACAAACCACTTGTGATCCATATTGTTATTTATTTATATTGAGCTAAAATTTGAATAGTTATCAAGTGAAAATAACTGGTGTTTTGGTTAAGGTTCATTTATCTCTAAATTTCGGTTTTAACCGATAAAATACCCCCCCCCCCGATACATATAATAACAATAAAACTAATCGTCGTTTTCCCAATAAACACCAGAAATGGTCAGTTGGACATACAACTATTGGTACTTTTATAACTACGTTGCCATGGGATACTACTCTGACAGAAAAGGAACATTTTTCGTGTGTTAGTGGTACGTTTGTTTTTATAATTTCATATAAAATAGTAGCTACTCTTACAAAGTTTTAACATATATAGAACTCAGAGAAATGAATGTGCAGAGAATATACGGTATATTAGTACACTCATTACGGTATCAAAAGCGAAAACTCCGAAAAAAAATACAGATTTTAAAATATCTAAATGAAACCATGTAAAAAAATATGTAAACACCGAAAACCTGAAACCCAAATTGTGATTTAAATACCCATTGTTGTATCCAGAAATTGTAAACTTTTTCTGTAGACATACTAAGTTTTCTATTTTGTTTTATAAACGCACAGACTGTAATTGTATAAAAGTTTGGTGCTGTTTATATTAATTTTCAAACCGATAAGTGTTCATTATAGAACATATTTGAAGAACAGTTTGTGAGAAGTTTCCGCTCTATGTATAGTATATAGTCCTTTCTTTACGTATTTCTGCAAAGTACAGGGAGATCCAAAAGTTAGTTGTTCCAGTGTATACATATTTCACAATTTGTCTCGGATTAACGTACGTATACATCTCCCTACTTCTAGTATATATATCATCCTGGAGCACAGACCTATAAAGTAAGTTCGAGTTTGTTGCTGTAAATCCAATGTTTGTTTGTAGTTAAGCACAAAACTACACAGTGGACTGGCTATCTGTTCGAATAGTTAACTTGGGATCACTTTAAACACACAGATCATCATAAAATGTACTAAATTGATTTATTCTGGAGTTAAAACTTAAAGAGTTAAACGATAATGACTGGCGAATCTTCTTTAGACAACAAATCAGGTACACATTTCGCGAGATAAAATTCCTTCACGTTGAGATACAGTACCTTCTCAAAATGGATACACTAATGTAGCAACCTTTGACAAGGGATAACACAGAGGAAACTGGTCATTAAGAGACATGCTTACGTTACGAGTTTAGGCCGCTTTCGCTCCACTATTGTAGATAACCGTTCAACCACAACGAAGTGCTCTTTTGTTGAAGAAACTGCTCAACCGACACTTTGAAGCCGAGTTACTAAAGTTGTGTTTTACGGTCAACTGTTTTGAAAATCCTACCCTGGGTTAGATGTGACCTCTCTCTGCTAGAGCAACAAGTTAACCATGCTAAAAGACTAGACAAACACTAAACATCGTGCTCTGGTAATACTCGGATTAACTTTGCAGGGAAAGAAATCCCAAATGAACAATACTAAAAGACTAGACACACCCTCAGTATCATGTTATAGTAATATTCAGGTTAACCTTGAAGGAAGACAAATCCCAAATGAACAATACTAGAGGACTAGACACACCCTCAGTATCATGTTATGGTGATATTCAGGTTAACCTCGAAGGAAGACAAATCCCAAATGAACAATATCAGAAGACTAGACACACCCTCAGTGTCATGTTATGGTGATATTCAGGTTAAACTTGAAGGAAGACAAATCCCAAATGAACAATACTAGAAGACTAGACACACCCTCAGTATCATGTTATAGTAATATTCAGGTTAACCTTGAAGGAAGACAAATCCCAAATGAACAATACTAGAAGACTAGGCCAACCCTCAGTATCATGTTATGGTGATATTCAGGTTAACCTCGAAGGAAGACAAATCCCAAATGAACAATATCAGAAGACTAGACACACCCTCAGTATCATGTTATGGTGATATTGAGGTTAACCTCGAAGGAAGACAAATCCCAAATGAACAATATCAGAAGACTAGACACACCCTCAGTATCAT